GGGGGAAGGGATCGGACGGATGAGCGGCCACGCTGCTTCGGGGTGAGGCGAAAGCATATGAGGGAGTGTGGATTTGTTTTTTGGTTCTATAAGAGAGATGGAGCCCGCTCTTGTCCTGTGGAGCCGCATCCAGACAAGTGTCACGGACGGACGCAAGTGTTAGATCATTATCGTTAAAATATATACTTCCATGGTACGAGGGATAGAAAGACCCGTGAATATACCATATTACTCGTGCGATCATCTTTCTCATTCCGGCTCCACCCTTCTCTCCCCCTCTTAACATTGAGGGGGCACTGCGGCCTCCTTTGCCTCTTCATCCTCACCGTTGTCTTTCGCATTGTTGGGACAGGTTGGCTAAGCTTTGGCCACCTGTTAGGTTGGATACCTGATAGATTCTGGGGTATATTTCTGGTGTTGATCGGGGTTGGAGTATGGCTTGAGCCATGGTCGGGTGAGCATGGTGGCACTTGCTCGGTAGCCATCCCCGAGGTTGGGAGCTTCTTTAGCCTAGCAGAGGCCTCGGACCCAAACAAGGCTTAGCTTTTGGCTCTTTCTCCAAGCACCAAGTCCTTTTCCTAGAGTGGGCCTTCTGGGCCCCACCAAGCCATCGCTAATGTGCTCGAGGGTGCGTGCGAGCACACACTATAGGTATAGCCTCCGATCCTCTTGTTAGTGGTTAATATGGCTGTTATGACGCTAATAAGTGGGTTTAATCTACCCAGGTGTTGGACACTCAAAAGCCCCTATGTTTGGTTGGCGCCGGTCCCACTGGCTGAATGGACTCCAAAGTCTCAAAGTCTGCAACCAAAGTGAAACCAAACCTCTTCAAGCAGAGGGGAGTTCTGGGCAGACTTTCTGCTTTCGCCGACGCATTTTGACTCGCACCGTCACGCTCACAGACCGTACACCTGAGTCGCACCCGGGCCACAGCAACAACCGCCGGACCGCTATACTCTTCAGACTTCAAAGCGGCCTGCCGCAGCCGCCGCTTCCCTCTTCACCGGATGTGCATGTCATCACCTGACACCTCATCGGATAAGAGCTGGCTCTGGCATCTGGCTCGAGTTTGGAGCCTCGCGGCCTCTATCCACAATGGCTGCGGCCACCAACCCCTTCCGTCTAGTTTGTCGCAGCAAGCTAGCTGCTCTAGCTCAGCTCTGCTTGATGGCGTCCGCAACACCTTCGGTCAACTTAGCTGCGAACTTGGACTCCAACCTTGACCTGTACCTACAAAAGGTGGCGCTAGAGCAGCTCGTCTTGTGCAGGGAGTCCAGCGACTCGCGGCGTGTACGAACACATCGAAGTGCCGTCCGAGCAGATGGCGCCGTTTTCGGGGGCGGTGGCCGGCAGCAGGCGCAAGAACTGGACGGACGAGTGCAGGAACCTGTGGCGCGTCGCGGGGCCGATGATCCTCACCGGGATCTTCCAGTTCCTGCTCGGCTTCGTCACCACGGCCTTCGTCGGCCACATCTGCAAGGTCGAGCTCGCCGCTGTCTCCATCGTCAACGGCGTCGTCGAGGGCCTCGCCTTCGGCCTCCTGGTAATCAATTCAACAACCACTAATATAATCTCGTCGTCGTCTGAAGTCTTACGGCGTAGCGTATCGCCCCCTATCTGACTGATCTTTTGCTTTCTCTCTACGTGCAACGTGCCCATCGATCGCATGCAGCTTGGCATGGGGAGCGCCCTGGAGACGCTGTGCGGGCAGGCGGTGGGCGCCGGGCAGCTCCAGATGCTGGGCGTCTACATGCAGCGGTCCTGGATCATCTGCCTCGCCACCTCCCTCGTCCTGCTCCCGCTCTACATCTTCACGTCCCCGATCCTCCGCCTGCTCCGGCAGTCCGCGGACATCTCGGCGGTCTCGGGGCGGTACGCGCGCTGGTGCGTGCCGCAGCTGTTCGCGTACGCCGTCAACTTCCCCATGCAGAAGTTCTACCAGGCGCAGAGCAGGGTGTGGGTCATGACGGCCATCTCGGGCGCCGTGCTGGCCGTGCACGCGCTGCTCAACTGGCTCGTCGTGGCCAGGCTCGGCCGCGGGCTGGTCGGCGCCGCCGTCGTGGGCGACGTCTCCTGGTGGCTCGTCAACGTGGCGCAGTTCGTGTACCTCGTCGGCGGCTCCTTCCCGGGGGCATGGACAGGGTTCTCGCGCAAGGCGTTCGCCAGCCTCGGCGGCTTCGTCAGGCTCTCCATCGCCTCGGCTGTCATGCTGTGGTTCGTATACACGCCGTCTTCTTTTTCCTTCTTGATTGAGTTCACTAATCACTGCATCAGGGAATATATATTGTTGATTGACATATATAATATGGCACAGCCTAGATATGTGGTATTATACGGCAGTGCTTATTTTGGTGGGATGCCTGAAGAACCCAGAGATTCAAGTTGATGCGATCTCCATATTATATTGTTCGATCATCTTTCTAACAGCATCTGCCTCTGCATTTCACAGAGAACACGTTGGCAGGCCTGTGTGGCCCCTGAAATCGTGATGAATCAATAATATTTCTTTTTTTTTTGTTGCTGTAACAGCATGAACTATCAGCTTTGGACACTGATGATTGCTGTTGGATTCAATGCTGCAGTAAGGTAACGTCCAATACTGCTTTGCTTTTCGGCACCTTTCATGTGTATATATATATTTCTGAAAAAAAGGGATCTTTGAGCTCTCAATTGTTGGCAGTACTAGCCACTGACATACGTAGCTCTTCCTTTCCGTTTCGTTCCCCGTACGTCAGTGTTCGCGTGAACGAGCTTGGCGCCAACCATCCAAAGGCGGCCAAATTCTCCGTCGTCGTTGCCACCGCCACATCGGCCGCCATCGGGGTGATCTTCACGGCCGTTGCTCTGGCGGCGAGGAAGCAGATGCCTCGGCTTTTCACGGGCGACGACGTGGTCGTCAGGGCGACTGCCAAGCTGGGGTACCTCCTGGCCGCCACCATATTCCTCAACAGCATCCAGCCGGTGCTGTCAGGTACTAGAATCTGCATCCACCGCTCTTGATTTTTCAGAGAAAGCACGGACGGGGACGATTGTTTCATGCATGATCATGCTCAAATCCGTTGATGCATGTTTGCTGCAGGCGTGGCGATCGGTGCCGGGTGGCAGTCCTTAGTCGCGTTCGTCAACATCGGCAGCTACTACCTCGTCGGCCTGCCCCTCGCAGCTGTGTTTGGGTTCAAGCTGAAGCTCAATGCAACAGTAAGACATGACATGCCTGGAAGATGTGACATTGCTGCGTATTTGTTGGCCTTCCTTCCTCAAAGGCAATCTGTTGATTCTGTATGTGCTGCAGGGGATTTGGGTCGGCGTGTTGATCGGAACGGTATTACAGACTGTGATTCTGTTTGTAATCCTCAGCAGAACCAAATGGCAGAAAGAGGTACAGTACTGTCTAGAACCTACCTCTTCATCATCTTCTTCTTTTTTCTGCTCTTGTTCCTGTATTCTGAAACAATTTTTTCTGCTCTTGTTCCCATGTTCTGGAACATTTTGTGCAGGCTATGCTAGCAGAAGAGAGAATACGGGTGTGGGGAGGAAACGTCGAGCTGCCACAGACTCAAGAAACGGGACCAAGTGAAAACATTGCCGGACCAGGCTCAAGAAACGGGACCAAGTGAAAACATTGCCGCACCTGTTTGATAGGAAACTACTTGTAACAGATGGAAAAAAATGTGAGACGCCTACAGCTGTGTCTGTGTGCGTGCGTTTGAAGTTGCAACCATTGAGGGGACACTTGATTATACTCACCTGATTGATGATGACTTATTGACTTTGATCGGCCTACTCGACCGGCCGGGCAGCCCGGGCGGCTTGCATTGCTCTTGCTCACAGCCGGGCGCTGCTACACCTCAGAGGGCCATGTTACACAAGCCCTCCTCAAGTATTAAGCACTTTTTTAAAAGGTCCGTATTAAGCACTTGCAAGGCATGCTCACAGGCAATCGAGAACTAATCATTCATATTCGCAAAGGCAAAAAAAGAACTAATCGTTCAAGATTAAAATTTGGCAATGAAAATAATAATAAAAAGAACACAGAGCACTGGTGGAGCTAACCATCGGCCAACCTGGGCACCGGCCCCCCCTTGCCCAACAAAGATTTATGAGAAGTTCACCTCACTCTGACTGATTCAGATGTTCAAACATGCAGCAATTTCAGTATTAGTGATCCATTTAGAAGTCTAGAACTAGAATCAAACTCAAGCTTGCACGGTCTTGAACTCTTGATCTTATGTGACAATTGACGTTCCTTCTACTGAACAAAACAACCTGTGGCAACAGGTCACTGGCCCTTATGCTCCGTCGATCACCAGTGATGCCACGACATGATAAAGCTTAACTGCTTGTATACTGTAGCAATTGGCCCCTCCTTGGATTGACTGCGATCTCCGCCACAGAGTGAGAAGTCTTTCCTATTGGAGAGATGCAGAGATTTGCTTACATACAGAAGGCTAAAACCCTCAAAACATACTCTGCGACAACCCTTCATGCAGAAGGTGAGGAAACTTTGTTACAATTCATGTTTCATTAGTCATGCCTATGCCTCTGGCTATTGGGGATGTACTAAGTTTGAAATGCATCATTCATGTCTGCCTGTTTGTGTATTTGTGTTTTATCATTAATGGCTATTAAATAATAATTATTTACAATGCATACTGTCCACTTTTTTTGAACTTTAATGTTCATATAGGCCAGATATTTGTAAACCTGAGAAGTTGAATATATGTTGACTCTTGTGTTTGTTGTGCCATAAATCTGATCCCATGGTTCCTCGCCTTTCCCCAGGTAACAATACATGAGGTGCACGAGAAGATACAGGATGCACTGGCTGCATACTTCAACGCCCTCTCCATGAAGGTAGAGCATGTCCCATCCAAGGTCTCTATCGGTGCCCTCCTCTCTAAACAAGGGCCCAAGTTCCTACCTGTGGCGAGGTGTTTCCTCTCGAATGCCCTAAGGCTCGAACCCACAAACCGAATGGCTTGGTTCTACCTGGGGGAGGTTCACAAGCAGGACGGCAGGCTAGCTGATGCTGCCGATTGCTTCCAGGCGGCCTCAATGCTCGAGGACTCGGACCCTGTAGAAAGTTTCAGATCACTCTGATGGGTCATCTGCAACAACATGAGGATTCCTTTTTTGTCGGCTAATTTTCTCTTCTTCGACTTTCCCCATTTTCGAAACATAGCTGGGCAGAAACCCAGGTGCCTGCTATCTGTAACTTTGTTGTATCTGCAGCTTGCCGGTGTGTACTGCAGCGACTGTTTCTTGGGGACCAACAAATGCTGTAATTGGTTGTTGAGTGATGTTATACGTACAAGATTCTTCAACTCGATAGCTCCATCAGGATCAGGGTGGCACTGAAACAGCGGTGTAATGATATGAGCCATTGTTACATATGTTACACAATATGATTATAACGAGTCAACAGCTAATTTAAAATTAAAGCCAGCGTTCTTTGATATTGTAATGTTTTATTATTTTTGTTTCTGTTTCGTTCTTCAATTACCTGATGTGCTTTAGGTAATTGAGTGGATGTTCTTCAGTTATACATAGCCTGAACGAGTTTACATGAAAAGATGCTTGTTTGTTGAACGTCACGAGAGAATGATATCCCGGAAGTTCTGCGTCATAAGAGGAGTACTGAAAGCCTGAACATGCAAACACATCTATAGAATAAATTCACAATCTGAATTTTACAGGATCAGTAGTTACTTGAAGACAGCATACAAACAGTCAATTAGTTAAGCACGGAAGAATTAGGGTACATGCAAGATTAAGCTACGCATAAGATTATGCTATGATGCATATGCATCCGTGGGATCTAGACGCCTACGAACTCCACTTTCTTGGCGTGATCTTCCAGCGCCTGCTTCCACGTCCGAGTCACGACAAACTCGAATGGTATGCCGAGCTCCTGTAGGTCCTCCGGGTATATCGTCTCATCGGGCAGCGCCGACTTCTCCATCTCCAGCAGCATCTGCCGGAACTGCTCCCTTGCGGCTGCGCGCGCAAGCTCCTTCTCCTCCTCCGGTCGCCGCTTCTTCGGAACTTCCGTCTTGGCCGCCGCTGCACGCTGGACCGGGTGCTGCTGCTGCTTCGCTGCTGCTGGTGTCTCTGCTGGTCGCTGCTGCTTCTGCTTGCTGGGAACTTCCAGAACGATCGGGTTCTTGGCCGCTGGGCGCTGCTGTTGCTTTGAATTCGCTGCTGGTGCCGTGATCTGAGTCTGATGATACGCCGCCTCCGTTGCTGCCTTGGGTTGCGACGACGTCGTCCTCTTTGCTTCCGACGACACCACAGGCGCCTCCGATCGTCGTGGCGGCGGTGCGCACTTGTTCTCGGCGGGGGGAGCAGAGCGAGGCAAGAGCTTGGCTCTCTTGAGCAGACCTTGGAGGGCGACGAGCTCCGCGTCCATCCGGATCCGCAGCGCTGACGAGGCTGCAGGGTCGACGACGACGTGCTCGAAGCCGTCGTGGCGGCCACGCTTCCGAGCGGTTGCGGTAGACACCTCGGAGGCGCGGGCAATAACGCGTGTCGGCTCCCCAGCGTTGTGGCCCGAAGTCGCGGTCGGAGCCACCGCGGCGACGACGCCCCGCTGCCGGTCCAGGAACGCGGTGGCGCCGAAGCCTGGAGCGGCGGCGCGAGGAGCGATGGTGCACATGGCGATCGAAAGCAGGGAAAGGAAGAGAGACAGGTGGTGGGCGGATGGATGGATCGATGGCTGGATCAGCGAGATGGACGCCGTATTTATCACCCGGGCAGCACCGAGACCGGCCGGCGAGAGCGTCTCCGACGCGGTTTCCAGAATGCCGCTGCTCCGATCGGAGCCGGCAGGGGTTTTGGATCGCGAACGCATGCAAAGAAGCTCGCGAGCTGGAAGCCTGCAACCAAAGGAACCGCCATGGTGCGTGTCATGACGATTGCACACCGTGTCCACAACGCTATGGTAATCGCCTCGGAATCGGGGAATCCGATCGGTGAAACGAAAACGGAAATAATGAAAGTTGGAAATGAAACAATTCGATCGAAAACACAGATATTTCAGATCAGAGAGATCGAGAGACTAATAAACAATAAAACAAGAGTAAAGTTTGATTTATCTCTCTGTCCTCGAACTCTAATACCAGATAACAGACACACATTAATTTTCAAAATCAAGTAAAATACCCCCATGGATCATTTTAAAATGGGGTTTTGGGTGGTTTTGCTGCCTTAGGAGCCCACATGTCAGGTGGTCTTTTTTTTTCTTCATTTTGTGAATCACAAGATAGAGATACAAACACTCGTACACTGAACCCTATCAGAAAAATAATAACATTTTCATATAAAGTTGGATGAATATAAACTTTATATCAAAATTGTAATCTTGACGCGATCTACAACTTGCAGTTGAATTTTTTTTAATAAGATATTTTGGTCGCTCAAATATTCGTTTTACGTTATCACATTAGAATTCCATTTTTTTAAATTTTCAAATGACCTAGAATGTTGATAATGGTCTATACTAAAGTTGTAGGTCTCAATGGGATCTACAAATTTGTTGTTGACAATTGTTTTGTTTGAGATCGTTTAGATGCCTAAATATTTGTTTTTAAGTTCTCAGATTTTGAAGTTTATATTTTTTTAATTTTCAAATGACCTTGGACGTTGATGTGGTATATAGCCAAGTTGTAGCGCTAAATGTGATATAAAACTTTACAATTGACAACATTTTTTCTGAGATCATTTAGATGTCCAAATATTTGTTTTAATTTCAAAGATTTAAAAATTATTTTTTTGAATTTGTTGAATGAACTCGTACATTGACATGGTTTGTACCAAAGTTATAGATCTCAATGTGATCGATAACTTTGTACTTGAAAACCTTTTTATTTGAGATCATTTAGAGACCCAAATATTTGTTTTATGTTCTCTGATTATGAAATTCAAACTTTTAGAATTTTATTACACAACCTTGGATGAAGACATACTCTATATTAAATGTTCTACGGAGAGAGAAACAAATGTCCTGACAAGAGAAATAAAAACTCCTAAATTTCGCGAACTAAACACAGCATGAAGACCTCATAGTTCAACCAGCAAACTCCTGTGGTCTGTTAGCAGCAGAGACACACGAGTTAGACAGGTTCAGGCCGTCAATATGACGTAATACCCTACTACTGTGCTATGTTGGATTGTATTGGCTATCGTATGATATTGCGTGAGTTTGGAGGGGGTCCCTGCCCGTCTTATATAACCCAGGGGTAGGGTTACAAGTCGGTTAGATCTGAGAGATAACCGGAAAGTAATAACAGATTACAGAAATCTTGGGATCGTACGTATCCTAACAGATCTCGTAATATCTTTAGGATATCTTCTCGGTGTCTTGCGGGAGGCGCCGAGTAGAGTCGTGCCCCGTAAGGCTTCGTCTAGTGGGCTGGGCCGCCCCTGGGGGAGCAGCCCATGTGGTCTGTCGTCGGTATCCGGGGTTGTACCCCCCACAGCTAGTCTCTGAGCGCCTTGTACCCATTATGCAACGTCGTCTTGAGCTTGTCCGAGCAGGTGCGAACGAAGCCGAGCAGTCAAACTCATGGTCCGACCACCGTGATGAGTTGCCGAGCAGTTGTGAACCGTCGTCGAGCAGCGTGAACCATCGCCGAGCAGCATGAACCATCGTCGAACAGTGTGAACCGTCGCCGAGCAGTGTAAACCAAGTTCGGCTTGCCATAAGGGTGTAAGGAGCTTAAGTTCAGAAACGAAAATTTCTTCACAGTGAACCATGTGTGCTCACTTAGAGTCCGAGCACGAGATAATCTTCTTCAGCTTCGAGATGCGCGGAGTCTTCCAGATTTAAGCAAACACACTCACCCAAGGTGAAGTGTGCCCACTTAGTCCCCGAGCCTAACAGTAGATGACGTAGTCATGTGGTGCCAGGATCCAAAGTAGAAGAATAGTAAAAGACCAGCCGAGTAGACAGCCAGTTCCCGGGCGTAGCCCTGAAGTGAGAAAAAGCACATTCACCGTAAGATGAAGTGTGCCCACTTAGTCCCCGAGCCTAACAGTAGGTGACGCAGCCACATGGTGCCAGGGTTAGAAACAACAGTCAATTGAAAAAAATTCCCAATGCGGTGAGGAACCGAGACGTAATACTAACACAGTCCCCGAGCCACTTTAGGAAATTTTGGAGAAAACAAACCACGGAGAAAATATCGGAGTAATGGCTGTACAGTAGTAATTACTGAGCCGTAACGATTGGTGGAGAAGTTGACGAAAATTTGGCGGGCCGTAACAAATTGCAGAGATAAATCGGCGATACGGGCCGCGGTTGCGCGAAAGCCCAGGTAACGGACCACCTTGCTGTTGCGAAGAATTCGGAGAGGCGTAAATCGCGGGAACGGTTTCCCAAAAACCCTCGAATGCGAAAGGGTGGGGAAAGTGATTTATAACTGCACCGCCGCATCCCGCGTTCCCACCTTTGCCATTTTGCCATTTCGTCTTCCTCCTCAGCCCTCGCATTTCTAGATTTGCATCCACACTTGCTTCCACCGCCAAACCCTAATCAGATATGAGAGATGGCGCCGAAGAAGGAAGCTGCGAAACCGAAGAAGACGAGCCCCAAGAAGGCGAGCGCCGAAGCCTGGCGTGATGAAGAGTGGGTGCCGTTGCGAACGGGAAAGGCGGAGCTCAACAGATTGGTGGAAGCGAGCGTTCTTCCTAACCGCGCTATCGCCGGATGGTGGCCGGCCCTCAGTGAGCCGTTCCCAATGCCTCATACCGATGAAGTGGTGGTATTTGAGGATTATTTCTGGCACGGATTGGGATTTCCTATTCATCCATTCCTAAGGGAATTGTTGGAGCTCTAGGTGGTTAGTCTGTGCAATCTCCACCCAAATGCCATTTTGCACATCTTGATCTTCATCCATTTCTGTGAGGCTTATCTCAGAATCCTTCCCCACTTCAACCTCTTCCGTCACCTATTCTGGCTGAAGAAGAGAGGCGATGGTGGTTCCAAGGTGGTCGGCGGAGTGTACCTTCAGCTGTGCGATGGAATAGCGGGCGAGTACCTTACTGTGCCGCTAAACACATCGCTGAAGGGCTGGAACGCTAGGTGGTTCTACATGAAGCAGAGCCACCCAGCCGTCCGCTGCGACGCCGATCACATCCCGAGAGCTAGAAGAGCTGGTCGGAGATGCCAAGCAGCGCTGATATGGAGCAAGTGAGGGAGCTCCTTAGCTTAATAAAGGGCATGAAGACCAACGGCGGATTGGTGGCAGCGAGCTTTATAGTGCGCCACGTTCAGCCCTGTAAGGAGAGGGCCCACCCAGCCTTTGAGTTCAAAGGGGAGACCGACGGAACCCGGGAGAGGCTGGAGATGCTGTCGAGGGACATTGTGGAAGAGCGGGTTGTAGAGCTATTTGCTCTGTTTGCCTCATTCAGCATGTCAGGGTATACGAAGTCCTTTAACTGCAAGAATCTGCCTCCTAAGGTAAATATCTCAGTTGTGTATTCCTGATGCTTTTGATCTTTTGTCATTGCCGAGCATTGGACTGATTCACTTATGCGAAGATCCACTCGTAGGATAGACCGGTGTACTTTTCAGGCGTGCCGAGGGGCGACTGGCCACCGGCGGTAGATGCCCGGCCACCAACGTAGCCTAAGGAGGGAGCCATCAACATCTCGTCGGAGAGTCCATCCCCGGTGTCGGAGAAAATCCGGGGAAGAGGGCAGCGGCAGATGAGCCAGCTTGGAAGAAGAGAAAGACGGCGGCCGCCGCTCCCCTCAAACCGGGTGGCATCTCGCTTGGCGGTGACTAGACCACTCGAACGAGAAGGACCGCGATGTTCGAGTGGTCGGATGACAACAAAATTCCGGTTGCTCCTCCACTGAGCACTAAAGCACCTCCGCGCAACACGTGCGTGGAGGTACAATCAAAGACAGGCGAAGAAGTCCTCGAGCAGCGGGCGAGGGGAGTCCCCGAAGCAGCAGGTGACGGGAGTCCCCGAGCGGCAGGCAGAGGAAGTTCCAGAGCTGCAGGCAGAGCAGAGGCCGACGGTGGAGGAGGCGGGACCTCCACCCCAGAGCACGGGAGTCGACCCACGGCCATGCCTGGGGCTCGGGTAGGCAACACCGGTTCAAGAAATTATACCGGCAGACCAAACCGTAAGTATCCTTGCCTTGGAGTTACTTTGCTGTCGTTTCTTAGCTTTTTTGGTGACTGATGAGATGATCTGATGCAGTGCAAGGCGTACGGAGGATCCGACCCCTCCCGTCCAGACTGTCGAGCAACCGAAGGCTGGTCTCGGAGCGGAGGAGGTGCCGATAGACCCCATCCTAGAGTCCCCGGGTGCTCGGCGACCTACGGAGGAGTCAACCGCCACTGCTGGCGGACTTGGCAGGGACAAACAATTGGCGCCAACAGCAGACGGGTCAGCGACGATGCCTAGGGAAACAACAAGAATCGCCGAGTCCTCGGGAGCAGAGGCTAGAGTTGCCGGCGTCGTGCCAGCGTCGGGATCGGAGAAGCCTACGGTGTAGGAGGAGCAAACGACGCTGCCTGAGGCGTCAGAGGGCGTGGTCGGACACGCTATCCGACCACCGAGCCCCAGGTGGTGCCTCTAGCTATAGCGGAGGAGGACGAGGTGGAAGAGATCGAGCGTGCTGAACCTCGACCCCAATCTGTCC